GGATGATAGAAAGAAAAGGCGAAAAAAGTTATTTCCAAACTGTTACGTGCTTGTTAATTTGCATGATGATGACAAAAAAGTCACAGAAAGATGAACTGATAAAATCGAGGTGATCGATCTAATGGTTGTTGATGAAGATGTGGCAAAACCATCTCTCATCTCTGAGGATGAAAAAATCATCGAAACAGCTAAATCAATAGTTTTCAGAATTAATGATGATGTATTAAGGATTATCTTTAAACATGTTATTTAAAAACGAAAATGTGGGAAAGGAAGCTGGAAACATCATGTGTACTGACAGAAGATTCAACATTATTTTTACCAAAGTTTTCTTTAAAGAACTCGATTACTATATTAAAAAAATGAGAGTTTTTGAAACAGTGCTTCTATCACAAACTGAAAATAAGGTAACCTCTGAAATCAATATCAAAAATACAGAACACTTAGAATCACTCCCGGAAATCAAAAAAATGTACAGAAGTGAATTTCTACTAAGAGTTATAACCAAAAATAAATCCTTAGAAAATATTTTACTGAAACACAAATATCAAGCTATCAGCAAGTATATTAATATGATATTAGAAAACATAATGATGATTAGAGATGATTTTGACAGTCACATATTTGCCATGATTAAAAAAATCTTTTCGCTCGAAGCACTCGAAAAAACGGATTACAAGATATGTTATGAATAAAATACCAAAAAAAAGTAACATATAAAATAGATATAATTGAATTATTAAATTTGTGGTGTGTTGTTAATAATTTTGTAAGCCTATTACATGATTTAAGTCCAGAAGATTTATACTTTGCATTTATCGAAAGTGGTTTATTACGCAAACTTAACAATAACTTTCAGAAAGATTATGAAGAACCACTCATCGCCAAGAAGTTTATCGATTTAGTAAAATTCAATCTAGATAATACATCAAGCTTTAACACAAATTACAAAATATTTTCTTGTTTACTTTTGAAATATGTAGCCAGAGAATTCAAAGAAATTATGCATAATATCATTATATAACACCATATATTTAATTGTTAATAAATTTATACTTTGAAAAATACAATCAATAAAATATTCAAGGAATAAAATAATTTTTCTGTGAACAGAAATGTGTTATTAATGTTTATTGACAACCTCTTCATAAGCACTCAAAAATTTCATGCACGACTGTCATCAGTGGTATAAAATGCGTATATTCCTTGAAATAAATAGTTAAAATCCGATATCGATATCATTTTTTTTTGAAAACATTCACCTCTAATTAGGAAAGAGGTTGATTGAGGTTGATTATAAAATGAATTCATTCAAATTCAATTGACAAATTTTGAGAGCTGAAAATTTTTGTAAAGAATATGCAGTCATCCTAACTATGTATGATGTTGCTAAAACTTTCCTGTGATTAGAGGTAGCTGATTTTTGCGATGTTGGCTTTTATTGTAAAACATTTACTCCTAATTAGGCATGAAGTTGATTCATAAAAGAATTCATTCAATTCCAATTAACAAATTTTGAGGTTAAAAATTTTTTATAAAGAATGTTATGATAAGAATCTTTCGTTAAGAATATATAGGTCTGCCAAACTGAAATAGAAGATTGAAGTTGAACTATGACAAAGCTCTAATTCAAAATTGTACTTTATTCACTATTTAGTAGAGATTAGGCAGAGGAATTTTTTATGTCATAACTGAGCTATCTTTAATTTGAAAGGAAATATATTATAGAACAATTCTACGAATTCTAATAACTATATTTCGTAACATTCTTGTTATTCTTTTTGTTTCCACTGCTTTCACGAATTCTTTGAACTTGCACAACAGATTTCTGCGGCATTACTTGGTTGATTTTGCCTTTTAAAGTGAACAAGTGCAAAATACATAGGGCAACATTCACAGTTTACGTATACCCAATAGTGTATTATACTTCAGATTTGATAAAAACAATAGTATATACAAAATGACAAATATAAACGTAACACAATCTTTTGTAATCGATGAAGTTTAAGTTATCAAAGAAAATTTAAACAATTCAAGTTTTTTATTTTAAAACAATACATAAATATAATTCTTTATCTTAATTTTTGTGACAATTAATATAGAATTCTTTTGGTTTTAATTGTCACTGAAAAAGAATTATTTGTCACTAAAATTAGAATTCAAATTGAATTATAATCTAATGTATAATATTGGTAAATAAGTTCTAACAAGTTAATTAGATGTAAAGTGTAAAGTGCTTTTTACGTGTATTCTAAAAGATCGACAATATTTTTTGTGATGGATCTTTTCAGTAAACACCGCCGCTTGTTCTCTGAAGTGCTGTTATAAATCTTTTTTGATAGTTTTAACATATCACTTCGATCTTTTTCGATGTTTATAGAGATTGAGTAGTTCTTTATAAATGTGTTATATGGTTCGTATTCAACTAATTTTGCAGAAAAATTTTTGCATTGATGAAAGCCTTTCTGATATCTTCCTGTGATTGATGGAAAATGATTTATTATTGAATCGATTATTTTATTTTCTTATCCCTTAACAATAATTAATTAAATTACGAATATTATAATGTTTTTTCATGTTATTATTTATTGGTTGTTGTAAGATGATTCACCATATATGTTTCACCATTTTTAACTTATATGTTTTATGTGATTTGAAAATTTTTGATTCTTCAACATTTCAACATTGAACTCCTATTTACTATCATTTGGAATTATACCTTATTAGAATATAAATTGTATTACAGTACAAGTTAAAAATAACCATTCGATCAAAAGTCTCTAATAGTGATGCATAAACACCATGTTAACTAATTAAAACAAACTAGTAAAACTGTAAAGCTATAAAAATAACTGTTCGGTTAAAAGACATATATAGACTTTAAAGTAACACGTAAGATTCTATTTCTTTGTTTTGGCAATTTTGTATAGAATTCCAAATTAAATCTATATAGTTAACCACTCAGAAATGCTCAAGAAGTCCTTGTTTTAAAATCATTTAAACGAGTACGCAAAAGTCTTTTATAATAAGTAAAAATATTAAACAAAGAAATGGAGTTAAAGTACCTTAAAGAATTGGACCAAATTAGTATAATTTACTTTATATATGTAAACTAAAATATTTGTGACGCGTTATCTAGCATAAGAAACCATTTGGTTAAAATAACATATTAATAAAGCATAAGATATAAATTCTTATTTTAAATAAGTTTTTATTTAAAGTTATATAGAATTTTATATAAAAAGGAAAATTCGGTGTAATAATGAAATAATGAAACACATATTTTACAAAAAAATTGTTATTTATAATAAATTTTAAATTTATCTAACAATTGACATGCATATTAAATGAATACTTATTTTTAAAATAACTTACCAAAGCACTGCATGTATTACGTTGCTTATATGATACGTAAGATAACATTAGTGAAAATAATTTCTTTATTGGAATTAGAAAATTATTCTTGCTCAAGTTGTACTGTTTTAGAAATCATTTATAAAATGAATAATTAACACAAAGCAACTTGCGCCTATTCCATTTGAAGCAGAGTCTGGTAATCCAACTTCGCCTTACTCACATTTTGTATTATACATTATATTTTATTTAAACATCATGAAATTCAGCAGGAAGACAAAAATACTACAACCTCTCTGAACAAATAAAAATTCAACATGTCTACCATCAAACGTAACTACGAAGATGACAAACTTCCATCAAAAAATGTAATTTTATCCAAAAAATTAAAACAAGACGATTACTACGTGAGTAAACAAGAAGTTATATTGATCATTGATTCAGATGATGATCTGGAAGCATCAGAAGTTGATTCAGATGATGACCTTCCATCAGAAGATAAAATTTTATTCATCAAATTAAACCAAGAAAATCACAATGTGAGAACACAAGATATTATATCAATTACTGATTCAGATGACGACCTTCCATCAGAAGATGAAAATTTATTCAAAAAAACAAACCAAGGCAATCTCTACGTGGGAACACCAGAAGTTATATTTATTACTGATTCAGATGATGAACTTTCTACCACAGCTGCAAATAATAACAATAATGATTTTACATATATCATTAACAATGATCATTCACTCAGAATCAGTAAAAAGAAAATACGAGACAAGTTAAACGACTTGAAGAGAAGACTCAACACCAACGATGTTATTGAATATATTGCTGAAATTTGTAATCATAAAGAAAGATTCGAATGTTACAATGATTTCAAGTCTCTATCCAAATGGCAACTCAATAATACATTCGCCAGAGTACAACGAATCAATAATTTAATTCCTGGATATTATGGAATGAAAGGGTACACGATAATGTTGGAACATTTG